CCCCAAAACCCCAAAACCCCAAAACCCCAAAACCCCAGAGGTATAGATTAGTATTGAACAATAAATTAATTAGCAAAAATGAAAATAATACAGATTACCTCAATAAACAGCTATTCTGGCAAATCTGTGTTGAAAATCTCCTTCATACAGTACAGATTTTCTGTGATTTCTCAATCTTCTGTCTCAAGAGCTTGGTCTTGTTCCTGAAGGTCTTCCTCTGAGATTTGGTGGAAGTTCTGCCTCTGGTAGTCTAAAATACCTGCAATATGGGTAAAAAGAGCCTTGATCTCGGAGATCCTGTAAGAGCTCTTTCCAATATTATTCTCAATATTCAGAGGATCTTTGATAACAATAGGGTCGTCAGAGACAGAATTGAATGGATAGTAGCAACCTCCTCTGCTTACTAAGATTCCTACGTTTCTTTCATCAAATTTTGAGCCGTAAAACTCTAGGAAATGGATCAGAAGTTGGGAAATATTGAGGTAGGCATTCTGAATGCTGAAGAAATTCATATAAGCCACGATCATTATTATTATACCGTACGAGCTAAGCCCTCCTTTGTATGGAGAGTTCAGTCCTTTCAAGCATAGGAGTTTCTTCACAACTAGTGTGATCTCCTTTAAGTGAGTATAGTCTTTCAAGTAAGATTTCACCAGATGAACTGATTTGATTCCAAGATGATGAATCTTAGTGGAATCCCAGTCAACTCCTTCCCAGAATAAATCTGATTTTATCCTCTTATGATCTTCAAAGGTGATATCAATGTGTAGAAACCTCATAGTAGGGTCAATGGTAGCTTCATCTTTAGATTCTTCATCACGTATCTTTTGAAGATCAGCTTCAAGCTTTATGATCGGGAAACTTGCTCCTTCAATTGCGTTTACTTTTCTGAAATATTCTGACTGATTGAAATAAGTCGTCAAGATTCTGATATGCTCGACTACATCATCTCTGTCTTCAATCTTAAGACCTGTAACAACAAGGTCGAGGTCGCTACTCTCAAGAGCAAGTCCTGTGGTGAGACTGCCAAACTTATCAAGTGTCACAGACTGTTCTTTAAATGCTGACTGGCAGATTTCGAGAATTTTTGACTCTATACGAAATTTTACCATTAATAATACCTATAATATTTCTCTCAGTAGATACGCTGGAGATTTTTTTCTCAATGGACTCGACGAATCGGTAGATTTCGTTGTCTAGCCGGTCATAGTACCTTGCTTCACCGTGATGGGTCTCATAAAAGTCCGCTATAAGGGAGATTAAGCATGAAACCACCAAAGATTCCTGTGTAATTAAGAATTTAGTAATAAATTCTTAATGACTATGGGGAAATCTATGAAATCTTACCATCACTCGATTCGCTAGTATAGAATCTATTCTGTAGTCTATCATCCCCATTCTCTGAGAAAGCAGCACCTGAAGGTCCAGTCTTGGATTTAGTCATGGTAATATCCATGAAGTGATTATTGTTGTAATCTCTTGGAAGCTGCTGAGGTCTCTGAAACCTCCCACTGGCAAATGCTTGCAACTTTTCATTCAATAATTGGAAACAGCCACTCTCCAATAAATTCCCAAAGTTAAGATCTGAGGGGAAGTCTTGACTAGGCTGCCAATATTCATCCTCATGTTTCCTTTGGGAGAACCTGTTCTTGGCACGCTTGGAGAAATCAGGCCAAAAAGGTTTGACATTACTATTGATCCGAGTTCTATTCTTTTCTGTCTTCTTCATAGGAGAATTCTTTCATCCTGTATTTTGGACTGATTTGCAGCTGTATCTTCCAGCTCTTTGTGAAGGGAGGTCAAAATCGAATAATCTTTTCTCCTCAGCTTCTTTTTCAGGGGTTTCTGGTGACTCTGCTGTCTCCAGATATCTTTGTTCACTCTGAGTATCATTATTTAACTCCTGAAGATTGCCAAGAGGAGGCACTGGGACAATTCTGGAACTCAGGATTTGGCAATCCTGAACAGAATGAGCATTAGATTTAGAAGACTGCGTATCATCAAACAGCTTAATAGATTTCTTCTTCACATGTCCCATGTTCCTGGTCTTGAAGGGTTGATTATTTGGAGACATCTTCTTTCTCTGATCTTTTCTATTTTTCAGATTTTTGCGATTTTTATTTCGATTCATTACATCATTACTACTATCGGCATTTGAGCTCTTTCTCAGCTCAAAAACTATCCTTTTGGCAATCTTGTTCCTACCTCCACGCTTTTTATGTGGCTTCTGCTTGGGTTGGTTCTTATTCTGGTCCTTAGCAGGCAGATTGAGACTTCTAGAAGTATCCTGGCCGGCATTGGTATTGGACCTTTTTCCAATAAACTTTTTATTTTTCTTGCCCTTTTTCTTACTGAAGGCTATAGAAGTGTCACTCAGGCATCTTACTTGGTTTTTCAATAATCTTCTGAACCTTTTGAGTCTCTTGGGCTTCTGGAACTGTCGTCCAGCCTTCCTCAGAAGGTGGCTCAGGAAGAAATTTCAGGCTTCCCAGATCACCAGATTTGTCCTTCAGCGAGAATTCTTGGGTAGATGTCCTGTTGAAAGCCTTGGTCATTTTCTCTGTCTCAAGAGTTTGGGACATCTTTTTCTTCTGCTTGTTCCTATATAATCAGTTAGATTGATCTGATGGACGAAGGATTTCTGCTGAAATTTATCCGGAATTAGTATCCATAATTATACTTCGGGAAAATTCCACTCCTAAAACGATGGAAGCTAAAAATGGTGTAATGTGCGATGGATAAGGGATGATAAATCCTCAATGACTGAATTTCACCAGCAAGCTTTGGTGAAAATAGTGGGGATATTCTTACCTGTTTCGATTTCTTCTCTTCTTTTTAGGCGCACTCTTCTTACTAGTCTCCTATTAATAAGATTATTGGAATTATTATTTCATTTAAGAATTTTGAAGAACAATTGAGAAGACGGTTTTAGAAGAAATATCCTTTTGATTTCTTCTAACGGCAATAACCTTTTAAGCAAAGTTATTGTAGATATTTCTGCAATGGGATGGCAAGATATCAAGAATGAATTATTTTTAACCATAGCCATCAGGTATAATTAATTAAACCGAGACAACAGAAATGAGGGAGCCTCCTACATCTGTTTATAAGTGAATATGAGAACTTTAGATGCAATATCATCTCAATAATTTTACTTTGGTAAGAGTTTTATTCTCCTGATTTTGACTTGGAGCATTTCATTTGGAAGGTTTTAAATTAGCAAAAGTATCGAGAGAATAGACATATCTATCACATCACTAAGTTCTATTATAACTCCAAATGACCAAATTTGCCTTACAGAAACCTCCTCAATCACTTCCTTCACTTCCTCTACAGGAGGTCCAAACAGCTTATTCCTTAACTTCTGCAGTATAGAAGGGATAAATCCTATATAAAACTCATTATCCCCTGCCCACACCCCCTCTTAACCCCTATTCCACCCCTCTCCACCCCTCTCCACCCCCTCTACCCCCAACCCCTCCCTTCATCACCCCCAAACCCCTTCCCACCCCTCTCCACCCCTTACCTATCTCCTCTCCTATCTCCTCTACCTTCCCCACTTCCATCCCTTCTCTCTGTTCCAAGTATGCCATACTTCCAAGTATTATTTTTAAAATATATTTGGGGTTTTGGGGTTTTGGGGTTTTGGGGTTTTGGGG